TGACTGACAGGAGATAAATATGATTTTTGAGCTTGGCTATTAAATGGATTTGCAATATAATCGTAACTTAATAAAATGCAATTATCAAATTTCAGAGGCACTCAATTTTAGTCCCATTATATAGCAAGATTAAAACCCTCAATCTCTCTTTCCAGCTCTTTGGTAGCAGTAAAATGCTTAAAGTGTGTTTTCCGCCACACAGAAAGGTCAAGAGAGCTGCAGTTACGATGCAGATCCATGCATGGTAGTAGAAGTAAGCACTTTTTCTACACGCAGGTTACACTAAAATCCTCTAAAGATGGACTCCTTTCAAGCAAGCCTTCAAAAACTGAAAACCCATCAAACATCTACAAGCTCAGGGTTGGTGCAAACAAAAATCTGAATAAAGTCGGAATATTGTTGAAAAATAATCGGTCAGATTCTCTGTGAGCTCCTCTCATCCTATATCTGAAGCCAACCATATTCTGGTTCATCCGCTTTTCTGATGCATCAGTGCTCAATCATAAACCTAATTATGCTTATTTCTTTAGGCCTGAGCACTTGATAGAATTACCCTATCAGCCATTGTTTTGTCAGCATTTGGTTCCCATCAGGAACTATAAACAGACACCAGCATAATTAAGTGGGTAGCACCTTCTAAAAACAGCAGCAAAATTAGCATCCTGCCCACAGATGAACGGTTTTCCATGGTAGATTTGCATGTGAAAGAACAACAACAAAAATACATAGATGTCTTCTTTTCGTAGATAAAAAGATATTCAATTCAATTTGGTTTATTTATATGGTGCCAATTCACAACACACGTCATTTCAAGGCACCTTACAGAGTAAATTAAAGCAGATCATTCAGTCAAATTGATTCAAAGTTTTCTATCTAAGGAAAACCAGTTGATTGCATCGACTCATTGACTCGAATGCAATCCCTCCTACTAAGCATGCTTGTAGTGACAGTGGAGAGGAAAAACTCCCTTTTAACAGGAAGAAACCTCCAGCAGAACCAGGCTCAGCGAGAGAGGCCATCTGCTGAGGCTGATTGGGGTTCAAGGAGACAGGATTAGAGATACAAAAGGAACTTGTCATCCAGCTCCACAGGAGAACTATATGTGAATTTCTTTTATTTTACAAGGAGGATTTTCATGTTTTTCAATTTTTAAATAATTTATGAGACACAGCTGCTGGTGGCCTCATAAACAAAGACACAAGAAAAACAAAATACTCAAAATTAAATGATCTTACACAGCAGTAGGATCAAAAACTGTGCAGACCAAAGCATTTAACTACCATGGTGTTCAGTAAAGGTGAATATATGGTGATGTTCATATTCCTTCTCTGTTTGTCATCAGCTGACAAATTGCAACAGCGCAACCCGAAATGATAATATGACTTATTACTTTCCTAATTACTACATAATGTAGAAATTAGAGTGAAAAAAAAGAACAGTAAGATTATCACTAATACAAACAATTTGGTAAATAACAAGTTTTCCATTATATTCAACAGAAATATGACTGTGGAGATAAAGTATTTTTAAAGTCAGAATTTTATAGTGAGCATTAAGTGGTTCTGATAGAAATGGCTACTTCAATGTTGTTGATCATTTTAATAAAATAGTCCTACGTTCACTTCTATAAAACAAGTGTTAAAATGTTTGTTGGAAAATCAATTTAAAAAAGTTATTCCACATTTATCTGTAATTGCAGTTTATCTTTTGTCATATTTGATTTTTCTTTAAATTCTCAGTTTTTTCTTTTCCTCTTTTCTACCTTTCTAATAGTTTCTTTGTTTTTTAGTAGTTTCCTGATTAAATACCAATGACCTCAATCATCCATCACTTGATGAAGACCATGTTTGTTCATGAGTTTGTCTTCTTTTACATACGGATCTCTACGTTTTACCCATAAAATCAGATGCTAAATAATCTTGTGACTTTTTCCATATTTGAAACTGAACCATTAATTAAACATGAATTAAAGTGACCAAAAGATTAAGAGATAATGTCATTTTGTACCTTAATGTTTTTTTCTGCTCTGTTTATGTGTTTTATCAAACATAAATCACTTTTGCTAGTCCAGCATGGCTACTGAGGACATTAACTTTACACATCCCAACAGGCGTGATTTTACAAGCTGCTTTCATTAAAAAAGAAAACAATTATAAATCTAGTTTGAAAGGAAATACACACGCCAGTCACAACAGCCTTTTGAGGTAACGTCAAATAAATGTAATAATAAGTCTGTTCTTTCATCCTAATAACTTCTTAGTGTAGGAATGTGGGTCCAATGTAGGAGGCTGTTCATTGACACTAAAACATAAATAAAGGGTCACTCTTAGGTGACAAGACAAGGCAATACAGTTCATTTCTGCAGTTAACTTAGACTTCGTAGCACTGAAATAATGTATAGTTATCTAGTGAATTAAATGAAAAGCAAGTCTAAGAATTCGTAGCTATTTGGAAACATCCAGCGGACAAAAAAGCAGAAATCCTACACATTATTTCCCCCATTTAATTGTTTTTATGTTTAAACTGAGGTGAGTTCTTAGTGCAGGGCTAAATGAAGGATGGATGGA